GTTTACTTTTGTGGATGAAAATATTGTAAAATTGTGTAGGTTCCACAGATCTGCATGTACTGAAAACCATTTAATGTTACATTTTATTTTACTGTATTATTATTTTAATTTAAATTTTTTATTAATCCTCACCCAAGGATATTTTTCCATTGAATTTTCATTTATTTTAAAAAATATATATTTGAGCCCTAACCGGTTTGGCTCAGTGGATAGAGCGTCAGCCTGCGGACTCAAAGGTCCCAGGTTCGATTCTGGTCAAGGGCACATCCCCAGTTGGGAGTGTGTAGGAGGCAGCTGATCAATGTTTCTCTCTCATCGATGTTTCTAACTCTCTATCCCTCTCCCTTCCTCTCTGTAAAGAGTCAATAAAATATATTTAAAATATATATATTTTTTATTGATTTCAGAGAGGAAGGGAGAGATAGGGAGAAAAACATTAGTGATGAGAATGATTGATTGGCTGCCTCCCTGTACCCCGTCGTCCCCGCCCCACCCACCCACTGGGGATGGAGCCTGCAACCAGGGCATGTGCCCTGACTGGGAATCCAACTGTGACCTCCTGGTTCATTGGTTGAGGCTCAATCAATGAGTCACAACTGTTGGGCTTTTCACTAATTTTTAGAAAGAGTGGAAGGGAGAGGGAGAGACAAAGAAACATGGATGTGAGAGAGACACCTCCATTGGTTGCCTCCTGCGGCCAGGAAACCTGCAACCAAGCTACGTGTCTTTGACTGGAATCGAACCCCAGACCCTTCAGTCCACAGGCTGACGCTCTATCCACTGAGCCAAACCAGCTAGGGTTATTTATTATTATTTTTTAATCCTCACCCGAGGATATTTTTTCCATTGATTTTTAGGGTGGAAGGGAGGGAGGAGAGAGTGAGGAAAAACACATCCACTGGTTGCTCCCGGACCACCAGGGCTGGGATCAAACCCGCAACCTAGATAGGTGCCTTTGAGTGGGAGTTGAACCCAGACCCTTCGGTGCTGGGCAGGCGCTCTAACCATTTAACCACACTGGCCAGGGCAGCGTTACATTTTAAAGGAGTAATTGTATGATATGTTAAGTACATCTTGGTAAAGCTGTGATGTGGAAACTCTGCTGAAGATTACATTTGGTGATGAAGATTATCAGTGGCCTGAAAGTACACATGCCCATGCAAGTATTGAGTCTAACCATTTCATTGTCTGTAGTGGTCATGTTTTATTTATTTTTCTTTTTTACAGAAAGAAAATGGTGTCAGGAGTCTGATGGGGGGGTGGGAGTAATTCCTTATTTTACTTATAAGACTTTACTAATAGTTTACATGACTTATGTAAGTTAGAGTTAATAATTCAGGTGTTTTGTTTTTTTAAAGGTGATGAAGTAGAACAAAAAGATGTCTCAACATATGAAAGCACCTGAGTCAGGTAATTCTTATTTTG